ATTTGGCTTTCTAGTTCTGTTTTTTAAATGCAAGGGCATGGCTTGATATTTAAATGGCACAATGCGTGACTTTTTTGCTTGAGAGCTTACATTAATATGTTCTAGGCAGTATTTTAATGAGCTGGATAAGAAATAAAACTGATTGTCATGCAAGTAAAATGTTTTTCTGATAAAAAAAAAAAAAAATCCTAGAAGTTCTGTAGTAAACTGAACTAAGACCTCTCTAAATCAGTTGTAGAGTATCGACTGACATGCACATGTATCTGTGTAAAGCAGTTTTGAAATGAGAAAGTAACTGAAAGGAAACACGGACATTCTGCTGTCCTGGGAAAAGGAATGATCTAGGGATGTTATTTCCTTACTCTTCTCCGAACTAGAACAGTTTTGTTCTGACTTCCTTTGGAACCAGGATTTCCTTGATTTCCTTCCTAAAAGATCTTGGGTGTCCTTAAGTGCTCAAGCTCAAAACTGGAGGAGCGGAAACCACTCTGTCTAGGCACCTGGATGCCTCTGAGGGTTGCTTCCATGTTACCCCTTTGAATAATGACTTGAGGTAGGGAAGAAGTGAGGAACCGGCTGGATGTGCTGTTGCTGGGTGAGAAGGTTTCAGCTATGGCAGCAATCGCCTGTTACTTCTGAGAGCAAAGGAAAATGCCTGGGGACATGAAGAATGAGAGCTCGCTGATACGAGTTCTTCTCTCTGAGCAGTACAGAAACGGGGCGCAGGGCTCTGCTGTCCGCTCACCCACAGCTGAACGGCTGTTCCTGGCGATTGAACGGCCGCTTTGTCTGTGCGTGTGTGTGTGTGTAGGGCGTTTCTTTTGCCTCACATTTCCTCCGATTGTTGCAGTGGCCGAGGCTGCGTTCTCCACAATCTGTTTTCAGCGAGGCTGCTGGCGGGGGGGGGGGGGGGGGGGGGGGGGCCCCCCCCCCCCTACCCGCCCCCCCCCGCCTCTCCCACTCCTGCCCCACGGCTGCATGCGGCGGGACCATCCAGACACGGTACTTCACAGGGGTCACTTGATACCACACAGCCACTTTGCATGAAGTACGTCAGTTCTCCCAAGGCTTCCTTCCTGCCAGCAAAATCTTTCTCTTGTGTAAAGCTGAACTCCGTGGCCTTTCTCGGCACAGGCTCCCTCACATCGCCCTGACTTAAAATAACCCTAGTCAGGTGCTGGGAGCTGGTGCCTAGTCCCCACCCTCCTTTTGCCCTTCTGCACTCAGGTTTCTCAATTCTGGGGAATGTTTTGTCCATTTTTATCCTAACTTACACTGAAAAGGATAACCTTTGGAGGACATTTGGCCCATTCTTCTGTTTAAAGGCAGACTAAATTGAAATTTAGAACAGATTGTTAAGGGCTGTGTAAAGATTTTTAGAAGATGTGTGCAAAGATACACAGCTGCTTCTCCTGGAACACCATGGCTGGCTTATTTACTCCAATGGAAACTACTCTCAATTTATGTTGTGGATCCAGGTTGCAGAGTGTGGCCAGAGTAGTGCAGGGAATTCATGCAGCTCATGTTTGTGTTGAACCAAAATTAATTCAGTTAGGACTTCTACTTGCTGAAGCACTTCCTTTATTTTTTTTCTTAAATTTGTAGGGTTTTAACTCCATTACAAAGAACTAGCAATCTTCCTCTTTTGCGTTAGTGGGAACTAAATGCAAATACCTTTACTTTTCCCTGCTAAGTAAGTAGTGTTTCAGTGACTGTTCCCCATATTTATATTAAAAATGTTACTAGAAGTAGTAACACCTAGCAGCATGCAAAATCTCGTTTTATTGCACAGAAATGAAAATGTAGACTTCAAATTGTTGCTTTGTGTAACCCACGCAGCTGGAACCAACACATTTCTAAGTGATTGGTCTGCCTGTTACTACCGTTTCTTGACTGAGTTTCACCAGGTGGGAATTTCCTCATGCGTAACAACGTGGCTGAACAATATACTGTGCATGTAATATAAAGGTTGTAAAGAGTGAGGTTTTGCTCATTGTTCCTCTGGTAGTACATAATGTCATGTTATTACACAATCTTTATCAGTTATTCAGATGAAAAGCATGACATGACTGACAATGTGTTAATCTTGATGATGGAATTACAGTTGGTAGAAGGAGGCAAGTTAAAAAGCAACAGAAGAAAATAATTTTAATAAAGGAAGTAAGTATTCTCTTTAGCTGTCCTTGTTTGGGGCAGAACAGAGCTGGTTCTGTTCAATGATTTAACTTTTCAGCTAACACTTCTTCTAGTAACTGCCTTGTCTGAAGTTAGCAGCATATTTTTGCAGACTGTCTGCTTTTAACAGTGATAACACTCCATGTTAAGAGTTACTACCAGGGAGTGGTATGCAGACCAAAGGCACTGCTAAAGCTTGAGTACCATGCGGAGGAGGACAAGGTAAAGCCACACCTGCAGGGAGGAGCAGACAAGATAAGTGACCCAAAGGTTCAGAAATGGGGTATTCCATCCCATATCAGTCACATTCAGTACAAGAGCCGAAGGGTCATGAGGGGCAAGTCCTTTCATCTCCCTTCTGCTTTCTTCCTTGCTTCGCTGCTCCTGCAGTGGCTGGCATCCGAGGAGGACTTCATCCACCCTGCCTTTGATCCCGAGCTGTGTGTTCCTGAACCCAGTTCCAGAACCCAGCTCCTGTGCTCAGTCACCCCCTGTGGCTGAGTCCAGCCTGGGACTTTTCCCCGGGGGCTGCTCCCCAGCTGGGGGTGACGTATTGACATCAGGGGAGATTTTGGTTTGATACTGATTTTGTATATATTTGTATATATTCCATTTTATTGTTGTTATTACTGTTATCAGTAGTAGTAGAATTGAATCTGCTTTCCTTTTCTTTTCTAATCGATAAGTCCCTCTCCCTTATTCCCTTCCTCTTTCCCTTCGGGGGGTGGGGGGGGGAAGAGAGCTTAACAGAGAGTATTTTTTACCAGTCTGGGGGTGGCCCTCACCCCAAACTGTGACATTAGCATCACATCTGATGAGATGGGAGTTGAACCTTGTAAAATCTTTATTGCTTTTCTAGCTATAGAGAATGTCAATATTTTCTAAATCCCAGACTGTGTGTATGTATGTAAATCCTAGACATTTACATATCTGTGGTGTGTATGTGTGGTTGTAGGGAGAAAAATTACTTGGGGCTACTATAAAGCTTTCTTTTAAATAAATTATATGATTCTGTCTCTGCTCTCCCTTTACCAAGGAGTTCAGTTGTAGTTCTCAGTATTTTGGGTAGGTGGAGCATCTCACAGTATAAACTGAAAAAATAATTTTTTGCTAATTTAAATTTTTTTTTTAATTCATCTTTAATTTGTGCTATTTCTACAAGCTACTAGTTTTGTCAGTATATTTTGCTATGGTCTTACACTAAACTTTTTGTTTGTAAAGTTAGTAAAATAAAAGAAAAAAGTATTAAAAAAGGAACACTGTAAGACCGGTTTATTAAATGAAGAGGATGTTGGATACGAGTTGGGAAGTGAGCTAGATGCCATATCAACCTAAAACCATTAATCATCCTCTTGTGACATCTGCTTTTACTCTGGGGGTGAAAAACGGGAAGGAATTGCTTTCAGTTTCAATTTCATTCACAGCTCTGAACAAACATCTATATTGAACTGAACTAGTCAGAAGAACTATAGCAGACAAAATATATTACTAGTTCAACTTGAACTACATTTTTTGCAAGAATAATTAGGTTTATTGTTTATTTTAAAGCTTTTGGCCCTATAAAAAGAACAGTAGAGGAGCTCCTTTTTACACTTTCCTCTTCTGGACTGCCTGGCTATTTTGGAGCTCTGTCTTTAATAGAAGTCACTACCATTATTTTGATTCTCGTTACCACAGAAACTGAGAGGACTATCTCTCACAGTCCATGCTGGCATCAGTGAATGTTCTTCCTGGTTTTCTTTAACTCCTTGTGGCAATCCTGGAAGAGCAGAAAGAAAAAGACAAGAAGCTGGCCCTTTCACTCATGATGCTCTACTGTGGAAGCCCACTTGCTTGTACAAGCCCACCCTTTATTATTATATGGAGACAAAAATTGGATATGAGATATTTAGTAATACTACTTGAGAAGTGGGATAGCATGAAGAACTGAGTAGGTGGTAGCATGGCATCATGGCTGCTTCAGGTTTTGTAGTCAACATCAATACACTAAACCAGTTGCTCTAAAGTTATTGCAGTAATTTGTTCATGTGAATTGATGTTTCTGAATGGCTGCAGTGAAATAACTGCACATCCTGATGCTTTCCTCCAAGTTGAGAATGATTTTATGAGACTTAAAGCATGAATGCAGGCACAGATAATTCAGACTTGCATTGTGGTGGAGGCAGCCTAGAAGGACACTGGGCTATTTAAAGTGGTTAGCTTGTATTTGTAATTCAGCTTTCCCATACAGTTTAGATAGGCAAGTATCTTTTATCAATAATAAAGAATTCTGAATAACTCCTGTGAAATTATATAAAAAATCCCATGAAACAAAAATGTTGTTTTGCAGAACAAGTATAAGCAGATCCACGGCAATGCAAGGTGAGTAAAATATAATAAAATATAATAAACAAAATGGCATCTTTTGTTCATATCAAAGATAACATGGGTCCTGCTGAGATGTTCAAATCATATTAGCTTAGCTGTTACTTTACCTGCTAATTTTATTAAATATGACTGCTTTAAATTGAAACTATGTACATTTTAAAATTGAGTAATTTACAAAACATATATCTTACATTTTCAGACGCTGATGTCTGAAGTCAAATAAAAAAAGAAAGATCTTGACATTCAAGTTATTTCTTCTTACCAACTGAAGTTAGTAAATGTTTTTTTAAGTCCATAACCTTCCGAGTCTGCTAGTGAGGCATAAGTATAGTGTTAACTGGGAAAACTGGGAGAAAATGTCTTATATAGAGGAGTAATGTTTCATTCTTCCAGCACACAAACCTGCCCAAGAAGCTGGATTTCCAAATGCGAACTTTGTGCCAGGAAATCAGGTCCCCTATGGCTACCCACAGTATGCACCTGGGACTTACCAAAGTAGGTTGCTTGGCTACAGATCTGCTATATCATTAGGAAATAAGCATGGGAAGTAGCATGTTGCACAAGGGTGACAGTCTCTGATTTACTTTTCTGCTGTTAATTCTGTAGAGTTTAATTTCTGTTTTGCTGAAAAGTCATCTTCTTTCATTTTTTGTGCTACATGTTAACATATGCTAAGCAGTACCAACAGTGGCAGAAGTTAAAAACGCTGGATGTTCCTCAGTGGTCACTCTGAGGGATTTTTTTTAGAGAGGTGTTACGGATGCAAAGCAATTAATGTGTTGCAGCTTCTTGCTGATAATCAGATTGTTAATTAACATGTTGAGTTTTTCATTTAATTTCTCTCTAGAAATCCAGAACTGAAGGAAATTTTTTTTTTTTTCCCCTTGCAGTTCTGCTGCTCCATGTATTCTGTTCCTGTTTCCTACTCTGTTGCTGTACTTTGCATACTTACACTTTCACTCCTTTGGTTTTCTCCTCTTCTCTCATTTCCTGCTCATATATTCAAAATACAGCACTTCTAGATAGTTTATATTCTGGCAACTTATTGATTTTCTGGAGAACCTAGTTACAATAAGCAGTACCTAACAATCGGGATTGAAGAACAGGTTATAGATAAAATGCAAAAAAAGTTTGGCCTAAATTGCATGATTACATCAGATTGAATCTGCATAGCAGGAAATTATTAAACGAGGGAAAACAGTTCTTGTTCTGTTACTTTCAATAGCAACTTCAGCAGCTTCAGCTACAGGGTTACGAAGCATGTCCGTAGCGAAGGCTGCGTTGCTGCAAGCACAGCAAGGCTCTGCCCACAGCCAGATGTGGGATGGGTTGTGAGCACCAAGCAGTGCTTCGTGTGCCATCTGGTGGGGTGCTGAGCATTTAGACCCTGAAATGCTTCATAAGAGCTCCTGTTTCCTATTGAATACTAACTGGAGAAAACTTACATTCGTACAAAACTTTGGCATTCACAACATGTGGAACTATTTTCTCCTTCATTTCACAACTCCACCATAGAGTTGTGTATTTCCTGAGTTTTGAAAGAGAATCCATTTAAAAAAAATAAGAAGTGCAGTTTTTAGATCACACTAATCTAGTCTGGAAACTGCAGACAGCCTTTCCTAAAAGGACATTTCCTATCACATAAGTAGAAGGTATAATTCCAGGAAAACTTTGTCTTAAACTTCCTCATTCGCTCAGCTGACAACTTGTAAATGATGATAATATTCCTGTATTTTAAGGTGTTCTGTTTTCTCCACTTAGACATAACCTTTATTTATTAATTTATAGGTTTTTTAATTGACTCGCTTTATGTGAATAAAGTTTCTACTCTATTCAAGAATGATACATTTATTTATTTTGTTGTTTTTTTTAAAAAAATTATTTTCCTGAAGGGATTAGAACACTGCAATCCATTGTATCTTCCTTCATGAAAGTTGTACTATTCATAACTGAAATACATTGTAGGTATAAGCATCTTCATAGTTCAAAATAGTGAATAAATTAATCTTTTAAAGATCCATGGGGCAATTCTTTTCCAACATCTAAGTTTCACAGCTGCGTGCCTTCTACTATGCCAGGTTTTGCAGGCACTGGGAGCTATGGATTCCAGGTACAGGCCACGGGAGTCCCACCTGGATTTGCTGTTCCACCCATCCAGAACCAGCCCATTGCACAGGGGGGAGCAATCTGGATGCCTATCCCTCCTGCTGTTCCCAACTGCCCTCCTGGACTGGAATACCTCACACAGGTACCGTTCCTTCTTCCCCAGAGAATGTTTGCTGCTTTTGGGCTGCTAAGTGAAGCCTTTTGTGATGTGATTGATGCATGTTTGAGTGTGGAGGTGCCTGTTACAGCTGCAGTACTTTATGGAGTACTCTTGTGCCAAGTGAGATGCTGAAGGACCAGGGGCACAGGGCTACCATACATCATTCCCATTTCTGAAGCTACTGTTAGTGAGATGTAATGCGATTGGGCAAGATATGTAACATGGGCAACTGTAGACATTAGAGGTGCTTAATTTTCTACGTGCTGCTTTCTTCACAGTTCTTCATAATGTTGTTAGGAGAGGCAGTGGTCAAATTTCACAGCATAGAGACTCTTAATAGCAAAATAGGAATTGTTTCCACATTACAGGATATGTCCTTGTGCTGTAAAAGTACAGTTCAGCTCATCACACAAATATCAAGGCCTAACACTGAGATGTCAGCAGTTGTTTTTATGGTGTGTTTGTTGGTTGGTTTTTTTATGGTTTGTTTCTTTTTTTAGAAAAAAAGAAAAACAAACAAAAAACCAAAACCAAACAAAACCTAAACTAAATCAGCCTGCACCAGTGAGGAGAGACCAATTTTTTTTTTTTTTTTTATATATATATTATATTTTTTTTCCCTCCTGAGTTTCACTCAGAGCTGAGCAGCAGCTGAGCTTCTGCTCTAAAATTCCAGTTTCCTGGGTTTCTCTGTCATCAGACTCCTGATGTAGGCTTCTGGGATATGTGGTGCTGGAGGCTCTGTCAGGCTCTGTAGCTGAGCTACCCCAAGTCCTGAAAGGTCCCCAGGCAAGTTAGCCCTGCTTGCTTGTAACCAGACCACATTGGGTATAACCTTTGCCATCTGCTCCAATGCTCTGAATACTGTTCTGCTAAACTGACAGAGGACAGGACAGGGGAGATGTGAGCTACTTCTACAGCTTTGCTGGTACACGATCTGCTTCTAGACAATGTATTGATCTACACTCTGAAATGAAACATCAGTGCTACTTAAAACTACATTTCTCTTAGTTGCATTTTATTAACTGTTCACTCTGTTTAATTTTTCAACCATGAACAGATTGACCAGATATTAATTCATCAGCAAACTGAACTTCTTGAGAGTAAGTGAAAAGTATTTATAACAGAGAAATTTTTAAATCTAATAATTCCAAGAATGGTAAAATTTAGACTTTCTTTGATACTGTGTATTCAAGATGGATCACCACCTTTCTCTTTCCTGCCTCTGTTATGTGCCTCAGTTCCTGTAGAAGTTGTGAAGGGGAAGGAGAAAACAGGAAGGCAGAGGATTTTAAGAAGTTTCTGTGCCTTAAAAGATGCATAGCAATGCAACTGAATAATCCTGGTAGCTATTTAAAGCTGAAGCCCCACATTTCCCATCTTATTCATTGACATGATTCCTACTTGCCTGTCTTCCCTACTTAAGGTTCTTTTATGTCCTCTCTTACTCCATCTAAGGCCTGTGGCTCTGATCCCCTTTCCCAGGCAATCATGCTGTTTCAGTGAATCGAACTGTTTTCCTCCTGTTTAAACCATTTTGCTCACTTTAAGAATATCAAAAAAGATTTTGTCAGTGTCTTTCAAATAGAAGGAATAAAATAGACCACCCATGTTGGCTGACCCCAGACCAGGACAGGGGGTCCTTCCCTAGCACTTTCCTTTGCCAGTAGCTGCCTCTGGTGGACTTTGAGTGAGGTCTGCCTTCCCAAAGGGCAGCTTTAGAGTTAGCATGGCAGCTTCTCTGACCAGACACCCCCCAGAAATTTAACAGTTCTGTTCCTATTTTCCAGTTTTGATTGGCTTTGAAACAAACAACAAATATGAAATCAAGAATTCGTTGGGGCAAAGGGTGTACTTTGCAGCAGAGGACACAGACTGTTGTACCCGGAATTGCTGTGGGCCATCACGACCCTTCACCCTACGGATTATAGACAACCTGGGCCACGAGGTGATAACACTACAGAGACCCCTCCGCTGTTCTTCATGCTGCTTTCCCTGCTGCTTACAGGAGGTGAGTTGTTCCTTCTCACTGTCTTCCTTCACGTGGGGCATGGTCCACCTGGACAGTTTCAAGATGGGCTTGCCTTGAATCAGAAGGCGAGGTGAAAAAAGTCAAGTTTTGTCTAAGCTGTGGGGAAAGAGCTATGGGATTTGTGCATGGGATCTCCTTGGTTTGGGAAGAAACTAGTGTGGTGCAACACTTAGGTTTGGTCTGGCAGGGTTTGATTACAAATGAAAAATAGGATTCAACAGTGTGTCAGGGAACTTTTGGCTAGTGCCAAAATCTGTGCTGGAGATGGACTTGCAGTATGAGTCGGGCAGCACCTTTCAGAAAATAATAGCAGTGTTAGAGATAAAATAATAGCTGCTGTGAAAGCATAGTGAGATTCTACACATGAAATGATGAGCTTCTTTAATATTAAATTAATTCTGGGGTGCAGCCTCAAATCCGAGCCTATTCAGAGCTCTTACTGAGAGATTTGTAGTAGCTGCATCCTGTGTTATCTTCACTGAATGCTTTTAAGATACTCACCACCTTTCTTTCACTAGACTTTGATCTTTCTCCTGTGGATACATGGCTTGTGTGCCCCATAGGCTTAGGAGCATCTTACTGTTTTCAGTGAAGGCAGAAGTTGCCATTTGCATGCAGTTTTCTGAAAATGTTCACAGAAAACCCAGTGTAACCTCATATATTAGAAAACCAGACTGCTGAAGAAGAACAAGTTGAGTTTGGTTTGTGTGCTAGTGTGGGCCTCATCTAAGAACCATATCAAAGGATAAATGATCACATGGAAATTTTTTTTTTTTTTTCCTTTGAAGCTGGAAGTTCAGGCACCTCCAGGAACACCAGTTGGTTACATTGTTCAGAACTGGCATCCCTGCCTGCCAAAGTTTACCATTCAAGATGAGAAAAGAATGGATGTACTGAAAATTACTGGCCCATGTGTTGTTTGCAGCTGTTGTCAGGACATTAATTTTGAGGTATGCAATGCTAAAAAATGTTGTATACAACTTCTTTCTGATAATAGTTTATTGTTCGTTGCTTGGGCTATTACCTGTCAAGTGAACTGTAGTTATATATAAAGTTATTAGTATATAATCTTTTAATGCTAGTATAATCAATCCACTTCTCTGGATACCTAGATTACTCTAGATAAGCCAGACAAACCTCCAGAAATGACATCTTAAAGCCACTCATCAGTGATCAATGAGACTGATTCCCTGCGGTTGCATACAAATCTCTTAACTCTTAATATTCAGCAGCAAAATCTTTTAAAATTTGTAAGCCCTAACAACCAAAAAAAATGTTATTCTGAGCTGTGTCACATATTTATTAAAATTACTTCCTACAAGCACTCATTTGATCATTTAATAATCATTCAATGGCCAAGTAAATAAAGAAAATTAAGATGTAAAATACAGATTTGGAATGACTGAAGAGTTACAACCTCTGCTTAAAACCAGTAGTGATTAATGCATCACTATTTTTGTACATGTTAAGTGGTAGATAGACTAGTAGATACCATTTAGTATTTTAAATGATGTTGCCAATAAATAACAAAAATAGTTGCTAAAGCAAATTCTGTGTAATTTTATTTTGGAAGCAAGTCTTTCACGTGACTCTGAAGCCTGGATCTAACTTCAGGAAACGTAATGTTGACAAAGGGCTAATCTCTACTTTGGAACAGAAGAGTGTAACCTGTTTCATTTTCATTTGAGCAGTTCCTGATACATGGCAGGACAAATTAAGTTACTCCCTCGGCTAGAAGACACCACTTCCAGCAGAGCATGTGTATGTGCATGCAGTAGCTCTCTTCCAAAACCATTAAAGCATTGAACTCTGTAGTCAGATTTAGAATTAACTTCATGTCTGTGCTATATAAGACTGACTTTCTGATATTCAGGGTTGCCTTTTGGTACAAAGTTGCATTCAGTGGCTGCATTAAATCAAACAACACAATCTGAAGCTTTCAAATGGATGAAAGGGATTTGGGAATATTATGGATGATGGATTTTGTTCTTTTTTTTTTTAAATTTTATATTAATAGGTGAAGTCTGTGGATGAGACTTCTACTGTTGGGAGGATTTCTAAGCAGTGGACTGGGTTTTTGAAAGAGGCCTTTACAGATGCAGATAACTTTGGAGTCACTTTCCCACTAGACCTTGATGTAAAAATAAAAGCTGTCATGATCGGTGCTTGCTTCCTTATCGTAAGTCTGCCATTCCCTCATACTTGAATATGAACTCATCTTCATGTTCAGGTTGTGCTGATAAAGGGTTTGACTCTGAGATTGTAGAAGTGGGTGATGGCTTGTAGTGAACTTCCTGTATGTAAATTAACCATGGAGGGCAATAAAGAATTATTTCAGGTAGTAAGCTTATTCTAGACTACATGAAGCGCTAACCATATTTAAGCGGCATGTATGTGATGGGACTGAGAAACCCTGCAAAGGGAAGTCTCCTTACAGACTCATGAGCAGAGGAAAGCATGTTTATGTGAATGGTGAGACCAAAGTAGTGCAGGTCAGCAATAGCCAAGAGACCTATCCAAAGCCAGATCAGCCTGCTGAGCTGGTAAACTGGGCAGCTGAATGCTGCAGCCAGTGCTTCCTGACTCTCCTTTTTGGCATCATGTGAAGCACTGAGCTGAGCTAGATTAAACACTCTGAGAGGATTCATTCCCAATGGGAGGGACTTCTGTGGAGGCAAAACAGATCTACCTTGATACAGGGCTTTTCAGCTGCGCTCAGGCTCTGTCATGTCAAATACTGCAGTGCAGCTCACGTCACTCTTTGGAAACTGTGCAACACACTCGTTTTTCCACATACCTGTGCAATTCAGCATCGGGTACCTTTCAAAAGTACACTGCTGCTGTGCTGGCAGAGCTGTGGAGGAGGAGGAAGGGGGCACAGGAAACATCTTGAGCTTGGAATGCTCTCACCAGGCTCTAACAGCCCTGTGCATGAGACAGATTTTACTTAGCTATGCATGTTCATGTGCTACCACGTGCATGAATTAGTGTTATTGAGTGCAAGCAACCTAGTATTCCAGACATAGAAAATGGGGCCTCCAGACGTAAGCTAAAGATAATGACCATTACGATGGACTCCAGTTCGAAGCAAAATTGAAGTCAGGTTGAACAAAGCCAGGGCAGGAATCCTGAGTAAAGGAAGCATGGCTTTGGCTAGTGGCAATTTAAAGTTTCCATGTAGGACTTTGGACTACATCTTTCTCCGTCTGTGAGTATCCTTTTCTGAGAGACCCAGATGATGATGGGGTGGAGAGAGGTGCTCCAAACTTCTTATCATTTGAGGTTTCCAAAAAGAAGGTGCTTTGAATACCTTGCAAAGTAACCAGGAGATCTCTGTGCAAAGAAATACATTTAAGAAGTATTTGTTTTGTTTGCTTTTTGTTTCCATCTTAGGACTTCATGTTTTTTGAGCATGCTGGTGATAAGCAACAGCGGACAGGAGTTTGGCAATGAAATCTAGATCTAGAAATATAGAAGGAAGAAGAAGAACATAATCCTCTGAACTTCCCAGTGGATTGCAGAGCTTTAGTAAGAATGTCAGAAAATTACATCTTGTAATTGTAGCTATATTTCTATAAACTAAAAGCTTTATGGCTTGGTTTTGTTGTGTGTTTTGTTTGTTTGTAATCTGATTAACTAATTTGTAGTATTCAAATAACCTTTTGTCTGTACAGTTCAATCCTGTAATTTAGAGAAATATATAGCAACTTTTTTTCCAAGGAATCTGGAATTGTAAATAACTACTAATGGTAGTTATTATAGTTATTCCAAAAAAAAAAAAAACAACCTACTTCTACATTCAATATTACGGTAAGCAGTGAGCCTAATAAACAGGTCTTGGTCTTTTCTCTGTATTCTTCTTTGGTATTTTTGCCTTGATGTTCACGTTATATTGTTTCCAACTTCTTACCAGCTATATATGTTCAAGGTAATCTAAGTGAGCAGAATCAGAAATCACTGTAAATTGTATTGATCTGCTTCCAAATATGATTCCTTGTATTGGTTTGAGTTAGGACAGAATTAATTCTGTTCAATTCCTATTTTGTCATCTTTTAGTTGATGGTTTTCCTTCAATTTCCTTAAATTTTTCAAGAACTTCTGGAGGAAGCTGTATTCACTTGCTCATTTCTGAAACTGATTGTGCTAAATACAGAATAAATAATTCTTTGAGTTGTTTCTTCATTTTGAAAGAACCCGTAACAGCATCTGTATTTAGTGAATCACCAGACTCTAGTACTCTCCACTCTTTATCCATCAGACTATAAGCAATACAATGATTTATCCCCCTGTCCAAAAATCCAGGATTTGGAAAGCATTAGAAGACTTCCAGCATGCTGCCTGTTATCCAATACCATCTCAGTTAGATAGAGCTGTTGGATAAAATGTTTACAGAGCAAAATTTGCAGATGGATTTTTCTAGTTCTGTTAATGACCTTACCATCTGTACCATCCCTTTAAGTTTTTCATCCTCAATTGTACAGGAGATGTGGCCACTTAATGAAACTCTCAGGTCTATATGGCACAGAAAGGCATAGTTTATATGATGTTTCTCAGTAGAAAAGCATAATTAATTAGTTTCCAGAAACCAAAATTCTAAGTGTTAAAAAAAAAAAAAAGGTAATTTACTCCTCCTTTAGTCTTCAGGAAAGTTGGGTTTTTGCTAACTGAGGAGAGAGAGTAGCTTTGTTATCAGAGAAGAGGAGCAGCATTGTTTTACAGTATATTGTATTACAGTTGGTGTCCTAAAAGCATCTCAATTCATATTCATAATGTTCAGCAAAAGGCCTCCTTCAGCATTTTTTTCAGACCCAAGGACAGCCTTCACATCCCTCATGTACTTCATCTTTTTTTTATTAATGAGGATAACTTTGACCAAAAGCTTACAGAGGGAGCAGGGACTACACAATAACGGGTGAGCCAGGGCAGGAGAAAACAGCTGGTTTTCCTGAACTGAATTTATCTCTCTGTAGGTGCAGGCATAACTCATTTGAAATGCTAGGGGTCGTAAAGAAAATCAAATCCTTGTTCAAAGGAATGTATTGTAAAATTGCATGGTTTAAGTTTTTGACTACTAATGGGTATTGTACTTGGTACTGTTAAGGCTACACCCTGAAGACTCTGGTTTTGGATCCCTCACTACAAGAAAGACATGGAGGTGCTGGAGCATGTCCAAAGAAGAGCAACAAAGCTGATGAAGGGTCTAGACAACAAGGCTTACAAGAAGCAGCTGAGGAAACTGAGGTTTAGTCTGGAGAAAAGGAGGTGCAAAGTAGACCTTATTGCTCTTTACAACTACCTGAAAGGAGGTTGTAGTGAGATAGGTGTTGGTCTCTGTTCCCAAGTAACAAGCAATAAACCAAGAAGAAATGGCTTCAAGTTGCACCACAGGATGTTTAGACTGGACTTTAGGAAAAACTACTTCCCTGAAAGGGTTGTAAAGCATTGGAACAGGCTGCCTAGGGAAGTGGTGCAGTCACCATCCTTGAAGGTACTTCAAAGATGTCTAGACTTGGTGCTGAGGGCCATGGTTTAGTGGTGGATGTGGCAATGGTGGGTTAATGACTGGACTTGATGGTCTTCAAGGTTTCTTTTCCAACCTAAACAATTCTATGAATGCTAATAATTTGTGACAGGAATGCTTATGAAATTGGTAGGTGGTAAAAACAAAAGGATGATGCAGGGAGAAATTGGGGGAACTTGTAGATAAGGGAACCTCTCATGACCATGGCAAGGCTGCAGTTGCACAGAGAGGAAGCCCACTGCTATACCACAAAATGAAGAAGCCATGTCAAGAGAAAAGTAATCATGTCGTAAGGTTTTTTTAAAATTAGTAAGGGGGGAAATAAAAAAGGTATCAAACCCCCACAAAAGATAGCAAGAGGTTACGGAAGAAAATTATAAAGACAAAGGTGCATGCCTCCCAGGGTGGAGGGAAGAGCCCAATTAGTGGAGAGTTCTGTTTTGTGAGTCAGGGCTCTGTATGTGCTTCCATGATATCTGAACCTAGGAATGCTATGGTTATGTTCTGGGTCAGATGGCTCTAGGACTGTAGCTCCCTGTCACCACTCACAGGGAGATTTCCATACATTGCTGATTTTGCTTTCAAGAGAATTTACTCTCTTTTTTACAGACAAATTTGGCAAATCACTTAGTTTCTGAGTTTTTTTTTAAATTTTTTTTTGCCATTTTTTCCCTCATAACAGTATATTATTAAATCCAGCAGTGAGGAGAAAACACATGAAAGCACTGCAACACATACCAAAGCTAGAGATGAGAATTGGGATTTACAATGACTGTGTTTCCTGTTTTTCAGTAGGTGGCAAATAGGTGGCAGTGTCAGCACAGGAATTATTTTTTCAGTGCTAGTAACCTCGCTCTGACATTCACAGCCGGTTTTGTTAGTTGTCATTCTGATTTTCTTAGTGGAAAAATTTCAGATTACACTATCTCCAAAGCATGCATTCCCCGCATGAGTGTGGAAAGCTAGATGTGTCTTTCCCACCAAAGTTGCAAAACCTTAAGCTTCAGATGCAATTACGTGCCACTAGGAAAATTAAAAAATATCTGTGAAAGTATGTTAAACCAGTATGTTAAAAAAACCAGACAAATACTGTGTAATGTCCTTACAGTTGCATTAGGCACGGTGAATGATAGAATTTGGAATTGGACTATGATTTTTAACAATTTACTACATAACACAAAGTTATTAATATAGCATGGCAAGGTACATCAAAGCAAACAAGCTGATTTAATTTCTGCTTTGATGTCGCCTATTTACATCTGAGGTGCATTTAGCCCCCTGGACATGAGATGGCTTCAGCATGCATGGATGTGACATGGACCACAAGTGTTGTAGGGCAGTGGAGGAGAGGGCAAGGGATGGAGGAAGGTGGACTGGAGAGCTCTGTCCAGGTGGGCCTGAGAATCTGCTCCAGGTTTCTCCCCCCAAGCTTTGGTTGTGTGGTGTTTTTGTTGTTGTTTGGGGTTTTTTTTCTTTGAGTTTAAACTTGCTGCTCATGCTTTGGCTGATTTAACCTTTAGCTCACCTAGTTATTGAACCAGGGCAGCTGGCAGCAGCTGAGGAAGTCAATATTTCTCCTTTGTTGTTTCCCACTTACTGAGAAGCAAACAGAAACTGGTACAAGGCTGGGCAACATGTGCAGAGGGAAGCCCATGCTGGCGTTGCACACACCAGGACCTTAATGTTCCTGTCCCTGCTGTGCAACGTGCTTCAGTCCCTGATTACAAATGCCTTAAAAAAAACAAAAACAAACAAACAAACAAACAAAAACACCAAAAAAAAACACAAACCACACCAAACC